TAGTAGTAGTAGTAGTAGTAGTAGTAGTAGTAGTAGAGAGAGAGAGAGAGAGAGAGAGAGAGAGAGAGAGAGAGANAGAGAGAGAGAGAGAGAGAGAGAGGCTTGGAACTTTTCATGGACATGCAGAGAGGGAATAAAGCCTGAATCTGCAACTTTCACCAGCTCTTTGAGTGCATGCGCTTACTGGTGCTCATAAACTCGGCTAAGAACTCCATGCCCATGCCTATGCCTATAAAATGGGAGTGATCCATGACATTATAGTCTCGAGCTCACCTAGCAATATTTATCCCAAGTCTGGACTATAACAATGTGCATGTGTCCTCTTTAGCAAGCTCAATAAACCAGATGCTGTGCTTCTCATTTCTTTAATCACTGCTTGCTCCAATTGTGGGAAAGCAGACATGGCCTTGCAATATTGAAACCATGCCTAAAGGGAGCTTAATCTCTTGGAATGCTATGGTTGCTGATTATGGCCAAAATAGCTCAGCTCATTAAAGCTTTGAAACTATTCCATGAAACTGCAAATTTTATAGCCGAGGATGGATGAGATCATTCTTGCAAGTACAACGAGCTCGTGCCAAAATTTGTTCTCTCTCGAGGTGTAAATGTTTTCCTCACACACACTCAGTGAACTCAATGTGGAGGTGTTAAAATCCCAATCTCCTATAAATGACACCTTCATTTTCATTGAATTGAGATGGCATCAAGGGGTACAGGAAACTATTTCTGATGTTCCAGTATATTTCCCTTATTGTCATTGGGAAGGACTGATTCAGTCGTTTTTCGCTCTTCGGTTTCTTTCTTGCCCAGTGACACATACTATAGTGGAGAAAGAGGCTCTTCTAATCTGATCAAGGTAACTTTTTTATTGTTTTTTTTTGTTTTTTGTTTTTAATATAAATTCTGTTCAAGGTACTTAATTGTAAATTACTTTTTTAACAGTCTTCTATCAGGTTTCCCTCTCCTTATCCTTCTCTCCACCCCCAAAACACCTCCTCATCGAAGAAATCCTAATCAGTCATGCCAGGGTCTCTCATGTGCACTGCATCGATATACCTCGAACTCCTTTTAAATGACTGTTAGCAGTATGAGAGAATCGCCTCGGTTTTTTGTTTTTCCATTCTTCAACAGTTCCGACTTCTCATCTTGGGATCAACATATTTGGGCAGCTCCTTCTCAGCAGCAGTTGTGATCGTTTTTTCTTTAGCTGAAGTATCGCTCTTTTGAAGCTTTCGAAAATTTTGAAGCTACTTACGCAATTTAACCAAACTTTCAGAGGTTTCTATGCTAATTTAGAGATCGCCAAAAAACTTCTGATTGTTGCTCTAAAGCAGTATTCAAAAACTTGGATGAGTCTGCACAACCAAGAAAAAGGCAAGAAATAGATAAAAAAATAAAAATTGTGAAAAAGAAGAAAGAACATAAAAGAGGCTGCAGAAATCCTCAGTTGTTGAAAAAATTATATCTTGAAAATATGAAAATTTTTGAATCACCTTAAAAACTGTCAACATCATTTCAATGAATATTTTGGTGGTGTTTTCCATATATAAATATTCCGTGGTTTGTATACCTTTAAACAATACCCCCAAATTTTACTTTTAATATAATTTTGGTATAAAAAATTCTTAGACTAATTATAAAATCTTAAGATCCAAAATTGGTTCAAATTGTAGAAACGAAAAACAATCTTCGAAAACAAGAAATGAGAAACAAAAAATTGTAGAAACGAAAAACAATCCACGAAAACAAGAAAAGAGAAACAAACGCAAAAGAAAGAGACAACCAACCACAATACAAAAATATACGTGTTTCGACAATATGAACGTATGGGAGATGAAAGACAACCAACCACAACGTAAAAATATATGTGTTTCGACAATGTGGATGTAAGGGAGATGAGAGCTTCTTCAATATCGAGTCACAACAAGTTATTTGATCGAATCGCAACAATATATATGGAGTCCCAGATTGATGGTACAAATTAACTAAATACCTTTCGAATCCAGATATTTCGAATCCCATATACGGATATCCAAAATTTTCCTTAAGGTGTGCCGCCTCGAACCGCCGTAGGGGCCAAGTTAACTGAGTCTATCTAGCCGGACACTCCTTCGGGCTTCAAGCCGCCCATCGGGCCTTCGGCCCTTCGGGCTTTTAACGGCCTTCTGGAGACAAATCTATTTCTTCAAAATACAAGACATCAATTCTCAAAACAAATCTAGCAAAACTCGGACTTGACCACAGTCGATTCCTAGGTGAACTATGCAATAGGGCCACAACCCAACCCTAACACCACAACCCAATCCAATAGGATCTAGGCGCGGCTTTGACTTGACCGTAGTTGATTCCAGGTGAACTGGGCCCAAACTCTACCTTTCAGCTCCAATAACCGTGTCGGAACCAATGTTCGCTTCAGAGTCTTCTTTAGTTTGTTTGGTGATAAAAATGAAGCAATTCGGTGCTTCGTCCGATTCGAGAGAAGATTATTTGGATGTTTTTTTAATTCAATGCAATAAATTAAATATTTATATATAAAAAATATAAAAATAAAAAAATTAAAATTAAAAATTAAAAATTAAAAAAAAATAATTTTTTTATATAAGTATTAGTTCCGTGTTCTAGGCTTACCAACCAAGGGTATTTTCGTTCGCCACTTAGGTCTGCCAAAAAAAGAAAAATATCAATTATTACACGTGTCCAACAATGGCCCCCAAATTTCTTACCCCTTCTCTATCACTGCCATTTCCAGTCACTCGAAATCAACAAGCACGAGACTTGGGAGTTTGGACACAGAGCTCTAAATTTTGGTTCTCTGGAGGCAAAGTGCATCAAATCAATGGCTGCAATGGCGGCTTCAATGGCAACACTTCCCTCATTGCTCTCCATCCTCCCTTCTTCTCCTCGTTTATCTCACTCCTATCTCTTCCCCCTCTCAAGAAATTCAATCTTCAGAGGATCAGCGGTTCCCAGAGAGCTTCGTAATTCTCTTCTCTCGAAAATCTGTTCTGGTTTTTCGATTATTTTTCTCTCTCTACACTCTTTCCCCTTTAATTTTCAGTTGTAGATGAGGAATGTAATATTCGGTATAGCGTGGTTGCATTTGTTTGCAATTTTTTTCTCTACAAGCTGTTTCTCGATTTTTTGTAGTTCTCTCTGATACATTTTTTCTCCATTTTTGCAGTCCTGATACGAATGAAGTGTTTTCTTGATATATATTTTTCCAGACTCGTTATATATTTATATTTACATCTCTTTCCAGTTTCCTTGGTTTACATTTTTGTAGTGCTAAATACAATTGTTGTGTTTTCTTTAGTGGCAGAATAAATGAGTATTTCTCCAAATCTTCACTTTCTATTAGTAAATTTTCCTTCAAATTGATTTTCTCACTTCATTTTTCTCCATTTTCTCTCTCTGTATGTATGTAAGTACATTGTTTCTCCATTAGCTCTGACCCCCCTAAACATGGCAGAACTAAGAGATTAACATAATTAAAAGGGAAGAACCAAATTTCCTAACATTTATTAAACAAACGCATAACGCGTTAAGAAGTAAATCAGCATGTCAATTCTGATTTCCAATCCAATAGGGTTTGCCCAACTCCATAGGTTATCAAAATTTCCACCTGTAACATTAGATATTTTAGTAAGCTTATCTACAATTTCATCTTTATTTTCTCTAATATTGACAGTATTAAAGTTCCCATTTTTTTCGTAAGTACTTGCTCATCAACGGTATGTTTTATGTCATAATAAGTGGATCGAACTGTAATCATCATTCTACCTTGAACTGGTTCCATAACAAGGTCCTGTAGTCCCTTAGGAGTTATTTTTGCGATTCTTCATAGATGGTAGATTTCAAGCAATCTGAGATGCCCAGATTCCTTTGGGCAATACAAAGCAGAGGAGAATATGTCATCCTCCTGTTACATTTCTGTTTCCTTTGAAGCACTTAGTAGGAGTACTTAGCCATTTCCTTTCTCATTATAGAGTTTCAAAAGAGTGCTTTGTCGCCCATTAGAGCCAGTTCCTCAAATGACCCCTCAAGTTCTACCGAGGACATCTTATCAGATTTAAAGGAGAAGGTAAACTGAATCCTCCACTAATTTTTGCTCTTTATGATAAAAAAGTTTGCTCTTTTCTCTTCTCAATTAAGAAAAATTGCAGTGGGATGCAGTCGAGAATAAAAGTACAGTTCTGATCTATGGAGGAGGTGCACTGGTCGCACTATGGCTTTCTTCTGTGGTCCTTGGTGCCATTAACTCTGTTCCTCTGGTATGTTTTTACCGTGTTTTCCTTTTGTACGTATCATTAAATTTGAAATGTTCTCTTTAAACATGTTCTTGAATTATGCTTGCGCTCAGCTTCCTAAGATTATGGAGTTAGTTGGACTTGGATATGCTGGTTGGTTCATATATCGCTACCTGTTGTTCAAGGTAAATTGTGATAGCATGCTCCAAAAGACTTAAAACTGTTTTATAGGAGTAGAACACTATTTTCTCTAATCACATGGATTTCAATTTTACAGTCAAGCAGAAAGGAACTGGTTAGTGATATTGAAGAGCTGAAGCAAAAGATAACCGGAAGTGGCGAATAACTGGAAAAATTTCATTAAATTAATATCCAATGTATGCCGTATTTCAAGCCTTGTATCAAAGTTTTGTAATTATGGGGGATTGAATCATTGCTTATGTTTTGCATCCATGACTAAACTTTCTCTTTCTTCATTCCCTGAATAAATCTTGATTGAAATGCTCTGCAAATCACCAATTATTTTCAAAATATCGGCAGTAATAACCCAACAAATGACAGGCCTTTCTCAAACTGACAACATTTCTCAAAAATTATGCCTGTGCAATGTGTCTTATGCCTGAAAGTATCCATTAAGTTCATATAAGTTGGCCAAAAGTGTAAATGCTCACTTCTCTTCATCCGATTATTTCTCTAAGGATCTCGTGAGCTAGATGCCCAATTGGGGCCTCTCTAGACATTGAAAATTATTTTATCTAGATTTTATTTCACCCCTACCTCTGTATCTCATTTCTATTGATGCTGCTTGCGATGAATTATTTTATTTAATGTGTTATAAGCATTTGGACATACTAGAAGTTGTAGACTACCTTGTTTACTCAAAGAATACTTAGAATTTTGTCTTAGATATTCGTTTTAGAAATTATAAATTAAATGGGATTGGGGAATATACTACATTATCCATTGGAAATAGTAGTCACTGTGCCTTAGTTGTTTTTGTCCCCATTCTGATATTGTAGAAGAAACAATTGTCTTATGGTTCTTGGTAAAATATCAAATTTGTCGACGATTAGCACTGATATAAGATTATTATAATTTGAAATTAAAAAATTGTGTTGGTCTTGTTCAATCATTTGGTACTAGCATGGATACTCACAATGACAAAAATTTAACTAACCAAGGCATATCAAATTCATGGAGAATATATGTGTCAATCATTTCCTACACATGGAGGCACAATTCAGGGGGGAGCGCATGTGTAGTATGATCTACACATGCATGTCATCGATTTGGACCCATATGTTTAAATATTTTTGAAGTAAATTTTACTATTAAGAAATTGTGATTTAATTCTGTATATATAGACCTATGCGTATTGTAGGGGTGTCGCAATATATAACTAAGTGTGTTAGATTCTTCAAATTTGAGACACAAATGCTCATATATGTGTCCTTGTGACAGCTGATATCTTATATCTGTAACATTTATTGCTAAATACTTTTTTTGCTCATAGGGTTAGTGTCATTACCAGTGATAAGAACATCATTTGCATACCAAAGTTCATCTTTCTAACTATCCGAGCATCTTACGGAAGAAAATGGGTAATCACTGTCTCTCCCTCTAATTCCTCAACCAACTTGAAATCAAATATAGGTTCTTTTAGATTAAGTACCTAGCACTGATCAGATTGAGAACAAGTAGTGTTACATATAGATATCACTTGTGTGAGATGTGAAGAAAACTATGTGCGCGCTAGCTGCGAAGAAAACTACATGTAAAATAGCAAACCAACGAATGCACTTCAGCAAGAAAATGGACGCACATTATTATCTTTAGATCCTTATGATGGAGATGCCATTCATGACAAGCTACATCTAGTGTAAGACATGCATGGTAAGAATTAGGAAACTAGAGTATGTTGCCTTATGATCTATATTACAAGCGAGGTCCCATGATAACAGAGAGTCGCATGTGCAGTCGATTTGAGGGGACAACTAGGGCAAGTGACAAAGGTACAGTGGTATGCACAGAAACTGAACCTTCGAACAAAAACTCGAGGTGGTCACTTCACTGCAGTACAGTAATAGAAGTAGAAGATGAGGAAGATGCCTGTGCTATGGATACGTGATTCTGTGATCGAGTTGCTTCAACTTTCAAACTTATCAGCAGATAGAAGAGATCCTAGCTGGTCAGTGAAGTGTTCTGTTGCTTGATAATAGACCAAGTTCTCAGAGGTGTTCCAAAGAGTGATTCATGCAGAAGCCAAAATTGTAGATAGAGTAGCACAGGAAGGTGGTCAGGTGGGGTGGACCATAAATCTCTTGTAAAGAAAATCTATTGACGGTATTATCTCCTAGGGAGGATCACTTTACGGAGGAATCAACTCAAGTGTGATTTTTCACTGATCTCATTATATTGGCTTTTGTGAATTTATAGACCTTGGGAATACAACCGAACAGCAGTCAAGGTATAGTAATTACCAGTTTCTCATAAAGTTCAAATGTTTTTGTGGTTAATGTGTCGTTTTAAGTAATAGGTTTCAAAAACTCTTTTAGTAATAGGTTTCAAAAACTCTTTTAAAGTGCAGAAACCGGAACCTTAAAAGTTGGATCCCGTCAGGATCATGTACTTAACTGGCTAGAAAGAAAATTAGTGAGACAATAATACGAGTATGAGAAATAAAGCATAAGAATTAATACGTCATAAGAACACAAATATTTATGTGGTTTATCTCAAGGGCTACATCCATGGGTAAGGAGGCAGACAAATTCACTAAACTATGAGAATTACAAGATTTAATTGTAAGGAAATACAATCTCCCAAATAGACAGATCAAAGTATCTGTCCCTTTCTTCTCTTTTTCTCTCTACACGGAAGAGCAATAGCAAAAAGAGATCTTACCTATTAGGGATTTCCCTCCCTTGCCTTTTCTTTTTTCTGCAAGATAATTTCCTGAAGGGATTTCTCTCTTTGCTTTTCTCATTAAGAGGATTTCTCTCTTTTGATTTCCATATATAATGTTTTATATAGGATTTCTTGAACTCCCAGCAAACCACAATGTCCTAGTTTTTGTTAACTTAGTTATGTGAAGATATTGATTCCCTAGGATGTAAATTCCGGCAAAAAGGGAAACAATATCAATCAAGTCTCTACAAAATAGGAACAAGCATAATCATACACATCCTTTTCTTCAAGCCAATCTTCATTTAGGGAAAAACTTCAAAGGAGTGGTGATTGTGGTGTCACTAACCAGGAAAATCCTTACGGTTGATAATTTGACGAAGAGAAGGAAGACCCCATCAAATGTTTTCTTAATATCCAAAATGGATGAAGAGACCATCGATTGACTCTGTTAGCTTCCCGGGCTGTTGCAAATGTATGGGAGTGGCTTTTACAGGTGATAAATATGCAATGACTTGGCTGTAAAATCTTCCAACAATTGTTTGATCAATGGTAAATCTTCCACTGACCAATCAATGATATAAACAAAATCCAAACATTCATTCTAGAGGATGCAAAAGACTGGGCTTTGGTTTTGCATGAAGAAAATTTCTTTCAGAATGTTTGGCAATATCTAGTCATAACATTAGAAATAAGAGTTAGTGGGTATTTAACCATAGATGAAGTAGGGTTGAAGTTTTTGTAGGATAACAAAGTTAAATTTTGATAGAAGTTCAGCTAAGAGCTCAGGTGTCATAACGATGAGATGGGAGTGATAAGATATTTAATTGGGGAGAAGTCTTGTTTTTCGGTCTAGTTCGGATTTGTACATCAAATGAGGTAGATGCAATGGCATTACTGTAATGAGTACGACAACTTGATCTTGCCACAAAAAAAAAAATTGAAAAAATGAAACAAAAGAGTGCAACAAATGGATGGCATCGAAAAAGTTGGGGTTTGGAGTTTTTTTTTGTTTTTGGGGGATGGGATGGTGATAATAGCATAGGCTTCGAATAACGTTATCAGTAACAACTAAAGAAGATTAATGTATCCCATGGAGACTAGAACCTAATTTTGACCAAATTTAGCATAATATTGGTATGAGAAATGTCGAAAATACACCCTCGTAGGGAGAGTAATGTACTTGCAAGTGTCAACTCACACCAAATTGTGAGAATCCTGAGCAAATAAGAGCATTTTGATAATTTAGTCACATTTAAGTGGTCTGCCCGAATGAAAAGATACCCTTTGTTGTTCAAGGCACCATGCAATTGTCAAATAATAAAAATGCTCCTATTTGTTTCGGATTAGTAGCATAGAGACTCATTTTTTTACCATCGTGAGCCCTGTCGACTCATGTTGTTAACTATGAATAACTAGGGAAATTTTCGTCATTTGCTTAGGCCACTCATGTAGGGAAAAATTATAAAAAATACTCAATGCGTGTTGAACATTTGAAATCTAAACACGAGCAATTTGGTTACTGCTTATCATCATATTTTTTAATGAGTTACCTTGAGGTACTTTAGTAAAATGAAACTTGAAAAGTAACACTCTTAATTATCGCTATCAACACCAAACTAGATTGCTCGGATCGATTAGTTGGACCATCATCATATTTTTTAATGAGTTACCCTGAGGTACTTTAGTAAAATGAAACTTGAAAAGTAACACTCTTAATTATAGCTATCAACACCAAACTAGACTGCTCGGATCGATTAGTTGGACCATCAATGGGTGCCTCAGCCTATTCAACGCAAAGCAAAAATCATGTTTGGTAAAAAACTAGGCAAAATCAATGTTTGATTTATTTGGCTGACCGGATCAATCGGTTTTGAATGGTCTGAGTTGTTAAGTAAAGTTGGGCATTCATTTTTGTACCATATTTTATACTTTTTTAATTACTATTCCTTTATTTTTAAAATATCTTCTTCAATTGTTTCAACTGGTAGCCAAACCGGTTTTAACTAGACCATAATGTTAACTAGGAGTCCATAATTAATTAACAGCTTTGGAGTGTATTTGTTTTGGTAGAGCTGTTCGGTAATGGGAGTAGGGCTAAGAATTTACTTGTTTTGGATCCGAAATCCAAATTTTGGACCCTATTCGAATTTGGGTATGGATCAAAAAATTGGATCCGAATCCAAAATTTGAATCTGAATAGTAATTTGGATTGGATCGAAGTATAGGTGGATCCGACCCAGTTATTAAAATAATATATATTATTTTATATATACATATATATTGTATAGAAATTTTTTTATATTTTTTTATATTTAATAATATATAAAATAATTTTTTGGATCCGATTAGGTCTGGATTCGAATACGGAACTCATATATACTTTTTGGATCCGAAACCTGTTTCCAACCCCTTCTCAGCCTTAAATGGGAGACCAAAGTTCCACCAAAACATTTCCCATGTTTGTTGTTGGAGTGTGAAAGCCGCAAAATAGAAGTACGGCACTCCACGCTCAACGTCAAAAGCTGCAATTTTAGAAAGGGGGAGGAAGCCGCCACTTCCATGATTTGTGCCGCTCTCTTCCATTCATCAAACACATCCTTTATGATTTTATA